GTTTTACTCACGCGACACGCTAGTCCGGTTTGAGCCAAAAGACAGGTGAAAGGGAAACACGAGAACTGCCAGATTGGTGTGAAGCATCTGTGTCTTCCAGCTGCCGGACGCCTACCATTCTCTACGGAAGGATTTACAGTTTCTGTGGTTCGTTCTGGCATTTTTTTTCTTTTCAGGCAAAGACGTCCGTCCAAGTTTGACCGTAACATCCCATCTGTCGTTTGGACTGGTTAGGTTCCATTGAGGTTTCTGTTGCAGGCTTCCAGTTCCATAGATTTTTTAAAGTACAGTTTCCTTACAACATTTTCGGAGCTTGGCTAGGATTGCTATTCAAATTTTCTATGCTGTCCACAAGCGCCCACTTCTGGGTCCGGAAAATTGTCACACGTGCTGGAGGACCACCAGAGTAGTGTCAGCGGTGGAACGCCCCCTTAAAGTTTAAGACCCCTGTTAGAGCTCTTTCAAGCCCTTTTGCGTGCCTCAAAGCCTTCCCTTCAAACTCTCCCTTTTGCTTTAAGACCTTTGAGCCATTTTTTGAGCTTATGCGTTTCCACTTTGCGCAAAAAGTTTTCTGTCTTCAAGCGCCCGTCTACCGCAAAAAGCCTTCGAAAAAACATAACCAAAAAGCTACTTGCGGGACAACTGCGACATGCATACTGCACCCGCCAAAACAGCATCAAATCAAAGTTTTAGTCCGATAGACCCAACCACGCTTCTCCTACCTAGGCAAACTTGATTCTTCTTAACACTTCTTCTCTGAATGTTCTTCAATCTTTTCTTTCTTTTGTTCTTCGGACTTCCACTTTTCTTTTGTAGGCACTTTTGCCATCTCCAGGTCAACCGACGTTATCATACATTTTCGTTTGTCGTCCCTTGTCAAGCTTTTTGTTTCCAGATTAGCTGGATTGTCTTTTCCTTTGGCTGACTTGACCACCAAATTTCAATTCTCTGCATCACAGACACTCAACATCCAGATGTCGGGCCATCCATTGATGTACTTGTTAGTCATTGCAATCTCCACATTTCCATCATTTTTTTCGTGGTTCTTTTCTTCCAGACTCTTTTTTCTCTTCAATTATTCCGTTGCAGTCTTTTCTTAAAAATAGCTCCATGTTATCAACATGTGCACAATGAATTCTTTTCTTACTTTTAGGCCTCTAGTAGAACTGTGCAAGACCTTCGTCTGATCTGAAATGCAACAGCGACCGAAAACTGACCCAAGTCTTAGAAAAAGCAGCAATCAGCAGTCTGAGTTCACGACATGGAATCTTTAAGCCAGTCGCTGCAACAAACAACGCAAATCATGCAAAGCTTTCCTAACCAAAACACACGTGAAAAACAAACATACAGTGTTCAAGAGAATGACGCTTTCTGCTCTTTGCGTTTTCTGTTCGATTACTTCCGAACGGTGTTGCAACAGTTCTGGCGTCGAAAAACGATGAAAGTTTTGTTCTTTCAGACAGAAGCAAGAAGAACCAACTGTCACTCAAATTAACAGAGAGCATTACAAACTAAGATTTGCGCGTGAAAGGATCTTGAAGAGTTTGGTTGGGTTGGCGCAAGGATCGGATTCAGTTTGGTCGCTTATATTCGAGATGGATGTGGTCGACTTTGCAATTTTTAGTTTGCAGCGCAGTGGACTCGTACAGTTTTTTTTTTACTCTGCTAGGAGGATCTTGCAATCCCAGTAAAAGGCATATGCGAAGTTTTGGCGAATGCGCATTTTCTGTTCCAAGATCCGTTTTTTTGTTTGGCAAGTTAGCAAAGAAGCTTACATGCTAACATAACAAGGTGTTCCAGCGCCTTTTGTCTGCAGCAACGTTTTCAAACTTTTTTCAACCCTTCAAGCCCTGCATTGGCAGGTGACTGCAGCAATGGTTCAATTGGCTGTGTGTTTGGTGCTTTGCAATGAATGGAAGAAACTACAAATAAAAACTGCAAGTGTTTGCACGTGCTCAGATGCTGTCTGCTTTGGTGACAGCCAATTAAAACTGTTATTGCTTGCTTACTTGTTACTGTAAAGAAGCATGAGCCAAAAGCTGATTTTACACAACTGTTTGTGTGTTTCTTCAATTGGCAGCTGCTCATTTTGCCTCAGAGCATGTCTCATGCCTTTATGCCATTGCACCAGCGCCATGTTTGCACTCATGATTGTATAAGATGATGTTGTCGCGAGTATTGCGCGAAGCAAGTTCGCAATCAAGTGCCAGCACGTCGTTTCCTGTCACATTTCAGCAGCCTCAGCAAACTTGCAACAAACAGGTTCCATGTCAGAGCACAGCACAGATGCTGTCGGCTATGCGTCATCGCAACCGTCGCTTCTAAGTGCGCCAAAGCCATTGAATGTTAGCATGGAGATGTGATGGCTTCCGCTGCGCTAACAGGCTTGCGTCTGCATCAGGAATGCCAGCATGTGTTGGTGGTACAAAATGAAGTGCCTTGGACGGATACGGTTGCCACTTGTAGTGATCTTGAGCTGATAGCTGCCTGAAGCGATCCGAAGCAGGATTTGCGATACTCTGATGTGACATTGCAAATTGTCTGGCCAGTCCCGGATGCACGGCCAAGCAGTGCAGCCAGGTGCGAAGTTGTGGTGTGAGTGTGATGTTGCTGGGTGTTCCATTTCCCATTCTGCCATTTTGCTTTCCACGTGTGCTGGCAGGACTGGCATGCCTCGTTTAGGGCGGCTTCAGAGTGCTGCCTCGCCGGGTCGGACACGATCTGCTAGTGCTGCACGACAGAGCACACGCCCTCAAAGTGCCGCTCGTGGGTCCAGCTGGCCCGTGGCTTCGCATGGCCGGTGATCGAATTGTGTACACCGTACACAGCTTCGACACATGACAGGTCCGCGCGCACAGGAGCAGCTGCAGCCGCTGCAGCCGCTGCAGTGAAGACCTTGTTTCATAGCCGCGTTTGATCTTGTGCAGTCGGTCTTGACGAAAGCGCAATGTGCACAATGTTCAGCAGCGGAGACAAAGAAAGGTATCCAATTCCTGGTGATGTTGGTTATTATCAGCGTCGGCACCTGAGTGGGAAACATAATGTTACTGATTCATGTGCATTGCAGTGCTCATTGTACTTGCGATGCTGGATTTCAGGTGCTGATGTCAAGGGCAGGGTCAAGAAGCCAAAATTGGACAAAGACATGGCCAAGCTCAAGGTCTCATGTTTGTTTTCTGCTATTAAAATGCCATGGACTCACAGGATACCGCATGATTGTCTCGCTTCCGAGTGGCAGGGCCTCTTCGCTTTTTGCGAGGATGCAAATTTTCGAGAGGTTCCGGTTCCAGCTGTTGTCCAATGCTCTTCAGAGGAATTACTGAATTTACTTGCAGTACGTGCCCTTCCTTCTTGACGTCTGATGAGATGTGAAGTTTCGATAGGTGCGGGCCATGGTTTCTCACTATCCGTATCTGTTGGGCTTGACGGATGCGCACGGGTTCTCTGCCAGGGTCTCAGGTCTTAAACCGTATGCATGAACCTCGCCGGGTGAGCGGAAGTGTTGACATAAGGCATTACACCACTCAGTGATGTCTGGGGAGCCTTCCTTCATCGCGAAGGCAGCATAGCTGGGGAAAGTCGCACTTCTACAACGTTTCATTTAGATAACTTATGCCTCAGTTGCAACGCTTTTGTGCGTGCAGGTGTTGCAGTTGTACCGCGATCCGAAGACGTTCTCCATAAAGAATCTGGTATACGACACCGAGGAGGTGAGTTGCGGTCACCTCGAGCACCACATAGCATGCAGGCAGAAGGCTTGATCGATGGCAGGAAATGGAGCGAGACAGAGAGATGGGAGTTGAGGTACTCCGTGGGTGGGCGACTGTTTTTTGTGCTGCGGGGTTCAGCGAAACCTTGACTCTCGCGTTGCCTTACCCGCTGTGATTGAGCAGGTTGTTGGCAGAAAGTCCGAGAGTCACGTCGAGGCTACGGGATGCAGGAGGGTTTTTTTGCATTGTGAAGGGGCCATGATCGAGTGTCGAAAGGCCACAGTGGTGACGATTGGAAGGGGAAGCAAGGCAGAAGAAGCGGGCCTGATGCCTGGGGACCGACTCGAGGCTCAAGCGCCACACTTGCTCAGGTGTTTAGTGAATGTGTCAGTTCATTACTTTCCTTGTCGAACCGTCCGAAGAGCAAGACCATGCAATGCCGGACAGTGGGAACATGAGAGAGAGAGTACGTCCGGCTTGTCGACATGAGCATTTCTGGATTCATGGGCAAGGAATGCCTCCTCATGTTCGAACATGCTTGCAGACTTTGTGTTGGTTGAAGGATTCCTAGAGCCAGGTACGGAACGGCCCATGTGTGTGCTAGCGACAGCTTTGCTTGCTGCTGCTAATGTTGCGACCGACAGCATCTCCAAGACTTGATTCATGCACAGACTTCAGCATCCCTAGCCCTCCCTTGGCAGAAACAGTGTGGCTCGCACACGCATTGCCAACAAATCGAGGAAGACTCAATCATGGAGTCATGCAGTGCACTTCCCGTTTGTGTCAATGGGACTTTTGGCCTTCGTTGGCTTCGAAGGCTTGCAGCGGGACTGGCTTCCTGAGTTATCGGCAACCGCCACCACTGTCGACCGATATTCTGGAAGCGCTGAGGAGCTGCGGCGGCTTGTTTTCGTGGCTTTCAACATGTGTTGTATCAGGAGCAAGAACATCTCTACCAGCTTTGGGTTTCCTGTGACTCTGGAGTTCAGAGGGTACCTCGCCTCAGCTTGTCATGTTGTCACGATTTTTACCGTCAATTCTTGCCCCATCACGAGCTTACAGTAGGCTTATCACTTGCCTCTTGGTGCGTTGAGCACACTGCCCTGCATGTAGTGTTTCAGCCGATATTTCCATGGACAGTCGAGGAATGCTGCCGTTGAGATTCTAGCTAAAGATGGCTGGGCTCCAACTCATGGTGCGGCAGGCGCTTCAGTGTCGCTTTGATAGACGGTGCTCCGAGCCATTCAGAAGCAGGCAGAGGCGCACATGGAGACAAGCAGATTTTATGGCAGCTCCTGAATGAGGAGGATCGGCTCCGGACAATTCACATCTTTTGGAAGAACCCATGCATGTAGGGCTCTCCGGAAGGATAAAGCCAGCCTGGTGCAAGACATGACGGGATGTACACCCGGGCACTGGCCGGGACCACAGCGCAGATCTGGATATCATGTCTGGTGCACAGTGTCTGCATGCCATCTTCAGGGCTCAAATCGAGAAGCAGATGAGGCAGTTTGGTTCTCAGTTCGATCGGCTCTTCAGCGAGCATGTTGATATGTCCAGCAGACATCCTAGCAACACCCGCGGATGTTGCGGAGCTGCCTTTACACAAGGATCCGTGGTACAGGAGAGAGCGAATGTTTCATGTCGGTACCTCACGTGTCTGACGAGGGATAAGCCTTTGCAACCGAGCGACGTATGAACTGATTCCAGCTGAAAGGTATGACGAAGAGCTTGGTTTATTTGAGCTCAAGCTATCCACTACATAGTAGGAGGCACATGCAGCCGCAGTCAAAGTTGAGGTCGGATTCTAGGCTATTGGTTCGCACTCGCCGGCGACGACTCTACTTTCTCCCCCGTTCACTGTGGATAGAGGCTGCTGCATTCTGACTCCATTCTAGCTCTTGATTGCTGAGCCTTGGCTGGGAGAGTCCCCAACATCAAGTCTTTGCAAGCGCCTACGCAGCCAGCAGCGAACAGAACACCCACTTGATGACACTAAGGCGGGCCAATCGTCGTCCTTTGAGCGCTGGGCCGTGCGGATGTGGCTGGAAACGCCGTCCAGCAAAAAAGGCAGGGCTTAGGGCAAAAGCACCATTGTCAGCATGTGCGTGTCTTGACGCCTTGGTGGGTTCGATTGAGAGCCCGGAGAAAGCTTGCTGCCCTCCCTCACTTTAACAGGGTTAGCGGGCGGGTTGAATAATGCACCTCTAGCATGGACTCAAATTGCGCTTCTGGTTGTAGTGTGCAGCGAGGCGGGCAGAGGGATCATGGTGGTTTATTTGCACGTTCTTCTCGGAAGGCATCTTTGCGACCGGTTTCAAAGCTGGTGCTGATCTCAACCTCGCCAAGAGATCGACGAGTGCGTGGAAGTGTGAGCAGTTGCAAGACGTTGCGAGGTCATGGCACCGTCATCTGCGGATGCTGAGGACATCGTTCGTTCAGATTCTAAAGCTGCAAGCGCAGTGGTGTTGTTATTGATGTTATTGCATGTTATTGCAGAAACGTGCTACATGTCAACAGCAGCATGTAGCTCGCTTGCGAACGCTGTAATGTCTGCGGAAGTCAGAACGTCCAAGGCACCTCGCTTGTCTGCGGCACCAGCGCCTTGCGTGAGCCTGGAGCTCAGAGAGCCGACCTAGGGCGGGCCCTTGCGAGAGCTGCAGGTCGACCCATGTCTCCGGCCTCCCCCGTGGCCACTGCGAACGCCGGAACCGCCACCACCACCGCTGCAAATTCTGCCAGCATCGGAGCGACTGCAACTCGGCGCCGAGCTTCCTGTCTCTGCAAACCGCACGCCGACGCACGCCGCCCCGCATCGCCCCAGGCAAAGGACCTGGCCAAGATGATGCAGCAGAGCAGTACCAAGCCAGGTCATGTCGATCTGTAGGCAGGACATATTGATGATCAGTAATCTGCTTCTAGACTTTTCCAGCCATCATCCGTTTGTTTGAGCATGCTCATAAGGCTCGTGATGTTTGTTGTGCTTTCTTCACAGCGGCCTTTTTTTCTTAGACTCGAGAGAGGGCTTAGAAAAGGGTTTGTCAGGCCGCATTCCTCCATTCGCGAAGACTGTCTGCTTCAGGAGCTTTGTGGTGCAGTTGGCAAAATGCTCCGTTTTCATTCCTTATACTCTCTTGATTTAGGATTGCATTTGCAACTCAGCTTGCAGTTGCTGGGTTGGGGGGGGGGGGGGGGGGGGGGGGGGGGGCCATGGGTTTCGAAAGGATGGTAGTAACCTTTCTCGCCCCGTGGCACTCTAGAGTTGGGATTGGACAGAGCCCGGAGACCTTTCCTGGGCCTTGGGCCTCTGCTCATGAGCATGAGGAGATGACGATGATGGTGATAATCATGGTGGTGGTGATACTGTGCATTCATGTTTCATGCTTTGCTTAGCCGTATCTGTATTCCCCCACATGTCACATGTCATGTCAGGTCCTACCCTGCACGGCAAGTAAGAATGCTCTGCAGGGCGTTGTGCAGCAGAGCACAACCACACGGGTGTAGCATGTAAGCTGCAAGGCTTTAGGCATGAGGGTACAGAGGTTGGACAGCAAACTTCAGGATTTTGCTGCAAATGTCCTGGGTCGCGATCGAGGTGCAGCGACTGTCGGTCGTATGGATCATCGTAGCCTCTTTTGAACACAGCGGCCCTGAAACTTATCCCTTTGGTTAGTTTCTGCATGCTTTCGAAAGGGGTAGTGCAAGCTTGTCAAACTTCAGGTGCCTGCATGTTAGCCAAGGTGTGCTGACTGGTTTGATTCAGATTGAACTGTCAGGCTTCTTGGGTTTAAAGCTGCCCCCATACCCCGGCTACGACCCATGATGACAAAATGTCCTCAAGAAGCAATAAGAGGCTGCAGCGGTGCTCCGGCTCCCCTCGTCGGTTTTTGAGTTTCAGGGGGTCAACATTATGTCTCTCCAAGAACTTTAAATCCTGAACCCTGAACCCTAAAACCCTAGCTCCGGGAATCCTATTCCCGGAATCTTCAAGCTCTTTGGTATTGCTTGTCTCTGAAGGTCATCTGCCAAAGGAAACGACAACACGGTGGAGCTTGCTAGTATTATGGCTCAATGAAGACGACAAGTTGTTCACAAGGCTTAAACTAGAGGCCCTGAACCATAAATCCTGAACCCGCGGCCATCAAGCTTGGAATCCCCATCGCCGGCACTGACCGCAGACAACCGGCCTGGATCCGAGTAGCCGGGATCCGGGTAGCCCCCGCCGTACCTCTTTTGCTTGGTCTCTCTCCAACACCCCTAGCGAGTTAGTGATGACCATTTCTATTTTCTAACCATGCATCCCCCCCTA